GAACTTCGGAGACATCATTAATATAAATAATTTTAATCGCCGTTGAATAAGAAATGTTTCTTTCACAAGAAATGTATAAAATTACAGTACTGTATTAGACTTACGGTACCTAATTTACATACTGACAGACGATAGTTAGCGTAAAAATCTCCGTAGCGTGGCGCCACGCTAGACGGCGGAAATTATATATTTAATTATAACAAAGTTACAATAAGTTAATATATAATTATATATACAGTACCTAATTTATATATAATTAATATATAATTATATGTACAGTACCTAATTTATATATAATTTATATAATACTGTCCAGACGATAGAAATCTCTCCGTAGCGTGGCGCTACGGACGGCGGGAAAGTAGTTCGGCTTCCCGATGACGTTTGAGGTGTTTATAGGGAACTTTTACTATTTTTTACGGATACCGGTAGCAATTTTTTCGTAGTTTTATAGGAATCGTAACTATAGGGACCGTAATTATAGGGGGGTCGACTGTAGTGTTTTTTTATTTTTTCAAATATCTTGTTTTGTTTAAACATTTTAAAAATATTCCTCTAATTTTAAGAGATTTAATAAACAAAAAATACAGCTTTTTGCACTTTTCAGTTGCTTATATTTTGGCAACTACTTTATATAAAATCTTGGAAAGTTTGTACACTACCTAAGAAAACAATTATCTTTTGAACAAGATATTCAGAATTATTTTAAATGTTTGGGAAACAGAGAAATTGACTTCTGATAATTGGCAATACTGATTTCTATATATTTATAGTCAGCCACTGACTTTTTACTTGGCAGGAAGTCGCTGCTGCAACTGTTGATTCATTTATGTGTTTTTTGGTAATTTAGTCATGTACTTTTTCATTAGCATATTATTTAAAAATCCAGCATTCTATCATTTTTGAATTTTTTCTTCTAGAATTGTAATATTTAAATTATAATCATCAGAAATATCTTTAGGTTCTGTTCATTTCCAATGAAAACAGTAATTCGATTGCCATTTTTTCCTGCATAAGTTTTCAATAAAAAAAACCAAAAATGTTTGAAAAATTAAAATATCACTGAGGTTTAAGTTTTCTATTGTGTACAGTTACACTGTTTTGCATCAAACTTCTTTTGTGAAAGAAAATGAGATTATTTTTAAAGTATTTTAATGTACTGAATATGAATTTGAGATCCAAAATCTTCTATTACTCATAGTTTTTTTAAATACCATGTTTTTGAAAAAAAAATGCCTCTTTTAGACAAAGATTCTGTTACTGTTGTTTGAATAGATATATAAAATTGGAGAATTATATAATATGCTAACAGATCTTCAAGTAAAATAAACAAATTTCTGCTGTTTTTTAAGTGAATGAGACATCAAGCAAAAACCAGTCACTATTTGTTAAAAAAAAAAAGTGGCCCAATTGCACAATGTACTAGGTCAGAAAAATATTGGTTTTTCTGCTCTGGTGGAAAATACTAAAATACAGGTATAGGTATACCTCGAGTTACGCTGTTCCCAATTATACGTTGTTTGTCAAAAAATATATGAAAAAATAAAAATCAAGTTTAAGTCATTTTGTTCGACTTTACGTCTGTCCGCCACAAATACTGAAGTCGTAATATCACTATAAAAGCGTTAAAGCACATAAAATCATATTAAATATGTACATTTACAGTAAATGTTAATATAATAATCAAAAATCCTAGAGAACGAAACATGAAAACATCTGTGTTTCTGTGTTGTCTTATTTAGTGATCTTTAAATGCTCAATATTGGTGTTTTCCAATATCTACCATTTGGCGTTGTTGTCAGCGCCATTTGATATTGGTAAATTTAATATAAATTAGTTTATTTTCTACTGTTGCAAGATAATTTTAATAACTGTATTTGTTATGTAACCTTAAAAAATCATTTTATTTTATAATGTCTTAGAATAAACCACATTTACAAATAAAAAGTCCGCAATGTACTGTAAACATTACCAAATTGTAAACATGTACTGTACCTGTAAACATTACCAAATTGTAAACATGTACTGTACATTTACAAGTATGTACTGGCTTGTGAGTACTAAAATTAGCTTTACTTTACTGCTAGACTTATTACACCACCACAGGACATCAAATTAGATTTAGAAAAACACTATTTTATTTTTAGAATGCATTTCGGACATGAAATCCCTCATCAGCTTTTTTCTACAAAAAATATTAGGAAGTTAACAATTTTTATAAAAATAAAAATTACAAAACGAACAAAGAATATGTCCACATTCTTTGTTCATTTCTGTCAATCACGGTCTTTTTAAAAAATTGTTAACTTCCTAATATTTTTTGTAGAAAAAAGCTGATGAGGGACTCCATGTCCGAAATGCATTCTAAAAATAAAATAGTGTTTTTCTAAATCTAATTTGATGTCCTGTGGTGGTGTAATAAGTCTAGCGGTAAAGCCAATTTTAGTGCTCACAAGCCATTCAGAAGACTAGACAAGAAGCGTATCATAGTAAGTAATTACTGTACATACATGAATTCATAAATTTAGATTACTTTTTTCTGTACTATATTAAAAACTAAAATTTATTTGTTTGTAAGCTAAAAATANCTTTCACAAAATTTTTCATCAAAGTGAGCTTGATATGAAGAGGAGATAAGAATACAGGTATACCTTGCCTTACATCGGTAATTGGTTCCAGGAGAGGCGACTTAAATCAAAAAACAACGTAAGTTGATAAATAATCTCCTCTAAACACACTGTAAAAATAAACGACTTACTTCTGCAGTAAACCAAAACAGTGCTTATTTCCAAATATTTCACTAACGTTTTCGAACTTAGTTCTTCTTCAGGTGAAACGGGTAGAATCGATGTTATTCGAAATCTGAACACAATCATTTGAAATCTGAACGCAATGATTGTGTTCAGATTTTGAATAACATCGATTCTACCCGTTTCACCTGAAGAAGAACTAAGTTCGAAAACGTTAGTGAAATATTTGGAAATAAGCACTGTTTTGGTTTACTGCAGAAGTAAGTCGTTTATTTTTACAGTGTGTTTAGAGGAGATTATTTATCAACTTACGTTGTTTTTTGATTTAAGTCGCCTCTCCTGGAACCAATTACCGATGTAAGGCAAGGTATACCTGTATTCTTATCTCCTCTTCATATCAAGCTCACTTTGATGAAAAATTTTGTGAAAGGTATGAACAGAGAAGGCTTTTGATTACCTGAGGCAAGAGTTCTCTCATCTGAACAATGTGAAAAAAAAAAGGAAATTTTTCTTGTTCACAAGTAAGACAGCTTTTGAAGGATCCTAGTTTCACTGAAAAACTTAACCCAGCAGAAAGAACAGTGTAGAACACATTTAAAAATGTGAGCAAAAAGTTTTAGGGGAATATACGAGCTAACAACTATTAAGAAATCATGAAAAGTTAGTAACATCCTATGAAACACCGGGTTGCAATATATCACTCAAGACGCATTTTCTACCCTCCCAGTGAATTTTTTCCTTGCAACCTAGGAGTTGTTTCTGATGAATATGGAGAAAGGTTCCATCAGACTCTTTCTCAAATGGACAAGCAATATATCAGAAGGAGGAATGAAAACATGTTAGCAGATTATTCCTGGACTTTACAGCAAGAGACTTCAGAAAAAAAAACATAAAAGGAAAAAAACATGTCACTAAGTGTTTCAGTTTTTAAACATATAGAATTATGAAAAAGGAGTGATTAACATGAATTTATTTGTATCTAATTAGCCAATAAATGTGATATTTTGAACAGAAAATGTTTTCCTTCAAAAACCTCATTTGTGAAAAGTGATGAGTATTAGGCCAATTCTATTGCCAGATTTGGATTCACTACTATTGAAACTATAAAAATCACTGAAAATGTTTGACAGGAGAACAAATAAATTTGTTTTTGCAAAACAGTGTTATTTAATATAAGTGCAGTATCAAAGGAAGTATTTTTCTAACAAACTTTGTTTATGCATCAATTGCCATTTGTGCTGTCTTTATGAACATCCATCTGCATCAAAGGTTAAAAACATTCAGAGAATGATGCATCATGGGGGTAGTAATGGATAATAATGCTATTGTTCATAAACAAAATGAAGCAATGCTCAAACTACAGCTATTATTTTAAATAAAGTAATTACTTTTACTCAACCAAATGATTGGCATAATTAATCAGGCTATAAATTTTCTATTATTAATGATTAGTTATGAAGTAATTTGGTATTAGAGGTAGACATTAGATGCAATCTCTTATCTAAATTAATAATTATAATTTTTAATAACTTATTAAATAATTTAGAATCATCTGAAAGAAAAGAACTAGCCCAGAGGGGAATTTGAACCTGTAACCAAAATAATTACTTTATTTTGGAAACTAAGATATTTTCTAGTATCAGTTCAAAAATATTTTATGGTAATAATGAAATTTCAATAATAAATATTTATTTCTTTACTTACTTGAAATGCTCTAAGTAATGCCATATGATCACTGAAAGTGTCTGCTGCCAACTTCTTTCGAGCAAGGCATGCTGCTCTCTTCTGTGCAGGTAATGATGGTATCAAAACTGAAAAAGAAAGAAAAAAAAAAAAAAGACACAAATTGGAGAAAAAATCTTTTATTATAAAAATAAATTATTACAAGATTTACAAAAATTTAAAGTTTTAATTCAAATATAAATTAATATTAGATTAATTAATATCCAGATAAATTAAATAATTTCTTTAATGGACTTTAAAAAACAAAACAATGTTAATGAAAACTAGATGGGCAAACTACAAGTATCTGACTGCTCTATTTACATGATTGCTCAATATGTTTCAACAAGAAATTCCTTAAATGGCAGAAGCAAGACTCAATGTAAATAGAGGGTATAAAGCATCAAAATCTAACATAGTAATGTACTCTTCATCCATTAGATAGTAATTTCACCATTTTTTTTAGGAGTTCCTTGGGTCCAAAATGCTGTAAGTATGATGTTCCAAGGAATTACCAATGTATTTCTATAGAGATCTTATATAGTTCATCTTAGATCAGAATTAAATACATTGGGCCTGTTATTCCTTCCTCCTTCCAGTTTAGAATTGTTATGTATTGTACTGTACATGCAAGGAAGGATGTTCTCATGGGCAGCTCTTTATTGAATTTACTTTGTGAATTGAATATGCTGGAAAATTCTATCCTTCCAGGCTACAGTAATTGTATTAGATTGTACACTAGATATATTGATGATGTATTGATCACACTGCACCATAAGCTCAGCATACAACATTTTATCAGTGACAACAACAACAAAACTTACAGACGTTTAAACTATGTCTGGAACAAGACAGCTAAACACAGGCTCACTTAGATATTCTCCTCTCAGAACTAAAAATAAGAGAAAAACAAACATTTTCAATTACTTTGAGCAACTATCTTCAGGTTAAATGAACATGTTTGGAAATTGAATGAGAAATGGCATGCTACAGTTTAATAAATAAAAAGAATGATGTCTAATTGGCATTCAATGATCACATGAAACAAAAGAAGCAGTGCAACTTGTATAATCCCAGCAATATATTTAATAAACCAAAAACGTTTTTGACCTACTTCTATAGGCCTTCAGTTGAAACATCAAACCTAAATGAAAAAAGAACAAAAAGAACATTCTAAAACATATTGAATATAATGGAAAAAATATAAATTGAAAACAATGGGAAGAGCATTCTAAATCAATAGAACATTCATACAATTCAAATACAAGGAATATAAGAAACAAATAAATACATATAATCAAAACTTAAAAACATAAATGGTACAAAAATAAAATAAAAATAGCAATAAAAATTGTAATGAGTCGAAGTCTGATCATTATTTTATGTTTTGTGTGTTATTTTTAGTTATATTTATTTTCTTTTTGGGGTCTTTTTTTACGAATGGAAACTCCTAAGAAACCCTCAATGTACTAAATTCAAAAAGAAAGGCAAACAATACTAATTTGCATTGGTGACTGATTCCATGATGCACACACATGTAAATAGGGTAGTATAGGGCATGTAAATAGGGCTGAGAACCAGACAAAAAGAACCAGAGAAAAAGACAACACATACATCCAGCAGTGTGGTGTAGTTCACGACAGTGACTGTTGTAGAAACTTCTCTGGCATTCTTAATAAGCAATTAGCATAGGAAACGTATACTTTGAGTATTCTTTTTTTGGTGGAGATTTGAATTGGTTTTTTGGCTTAATTTGATCTGATTTAATTTGATTGTATATAATCAAAAAATTTCTTTAATTGTTTATTTTGTTAACTTTTTGAATAATTGGAATATATAGTCTAACTCTTGCTATAATTAATCGTTGTTGTTGTTTATACACAACTTATCAATTTAATAAATATTTATTGTGGATTTGTACTTATAAGTGTTTTTAATTATTATATTTTGTTCCCATAAAGTCTGGGCCTGGTACTTAAATTGAACCCTAACTTGTGCTAACAAAACTTAACATCTTTTGCTTCATGTGATATGCTACAAAATAAACAATAAATAATTATCGGGGTACCAAACCCAAGTTAAAGCTCATATACTGTATAGATTTTCTATTACCTAGAGTAAATGGTATTTCATTCTAGAAAACAGGGTCAGCAAATACAAGTATATAGGATATACATCCTAAAATCTCAAGGAACATCAGTACGATGTATGTAAAGGCAAATACATCATAATGTTTGCCCATACAGTGGTACCTCAGGATACTAAATTAATTCGTTCCGAAACTGAGATCGTATCATGAAAATGTCGTAAGGTGAATCATTTTTCTCCATACGATTACATGTAAAACCAAATAATTCGTTCCAACACCAAAACACACTCAAATTAAAGCTAAGTATTATATTAAAAAAAGTATAGTAAGGAAAACACTGAAAAATGCTTTTTGTAGTTCTAAATATATAAATAACCATAATAGAATAATAATTGATTAAAAAAATGTAGTTTTATTTGCACTTTACCTTTGAGGATAGACAACGGTGAAGGTGTAAACTGGTGCGGAAGAGAGGGAGAAGTGAAATGATACTAAAACATAACTTACATAACATAATGTAACAATAACTTAAAAATAAAAAAAATTAGTGTTGTTTTATAAGTTTTCTTTTTTAATTTTTATTCACTGCTTTTTGCTTTCATTCCTTCACTTCCACCAGCACTTTCACTGGATAGAGGTTGCTTGGTAAAATATCTATATCCATAGAGGTTTGGCTTTGCCTACTTTTTAAAATGTTTCTAAAATGACTTAGGCAAATGTCATTACTCCGAGCAGCAACACGGCCAGTGTGAACCTTTTTGGAATGTTTCTTTTCAATAAAATCAGTCACTTTCTGATAATATCTCGAGATTTCCTTTATCGAGAGAGAGATCCTTCCACGACGAAGCAAACACGAGGACTGAGACCGATGAACAGAAGTGAATAAAAAATGGTGCTGCGAACTAATGTAATGTCGTATGGTGAGTTTTTGTTCGTATCGTGGAACAAAAATATGTTCGAATTTCGTGTCGTATCCTGAAAATTTCATATGCTGGGGCGTTCGTATCCTGAGGTACCACTGTATAAAGTAATAAATAGATTTATTATTAATTTTTAAAACTGTACCATTCATTTATAAACACCCTGTATTAAAAGCAAAATGTTCTGTCACTGCCAACTGAAACTGAAACTAACACTTTACAAAGAAATGCTACAAATAGAAACTCAACTCTGCCTGGATAAAATATAACCAAATCAATTAAGATGAACAAGTACCTAATCCACTTTCCAAAATATTGTGTGTCAATTGATTTGAATTCAATTTTAAATTTAATTTAAATAGATTAATTTATTAATTTTATTTTTAATTTTAGTTTAATTTCGGTGTAAAGACTAGAGTTTTAATTATTATTTTTAGTTTTAATTAACTGGCTACCTAGTATTAATAAATACTAAATATTATTTTTATAATATAAAGGGTGTAACAAAACTAATGGTCACAACTGTAAGGGGTGATAGACCTTGCCAAAACAAACAACTTTCACCATGCAATGTGGGGTCGGAAAGCAAACTGCAAGCCGCAAAAGGGATTATCTATAATCACTTAATTTGCCCGTATCTTTTACCAGACCGTCTAGATGGACAGAAGTAACTCACCTTCGTTCAGCAGGTGCTACTGATTTACTACAAAATGTACCAGCAAATGTTCGAACGATTATGTGGTTCCAGAACGATGGAGTGCCAGCACATTTCTCCAGGAATGTGTGAAACTACCTGGACACTGCCTTTCTGAACAGATGGATTGGCTGCGGTGGGCCCATTTCTTGGCCTGCCAGACTTCCTGATCTGTCCTGCCTAGATTTTTTCTCTGGGTACAGCTAAAAAGCGTTGTCTTTTACGAGACGCCCATCAAGTCACCAGAGAACACTGTTGCCCAAATTAGCATTGCAGCTGCAGATGTTTGTGAATGCCAGGAATCTTCCAACGTGTGCATGATTTACTCCATTGCCGATGTAAAGCCTGTAATGCAGCTGGTGGTTGCTCATTTGAGCATTTGTTGTAAAGTTTTCAATAGTAAAGATTTTTTGTCCTTTATTATTTGTCTTTATTGTATTCTCCATTTTCACCAAGCAGGCACTCTCTCGCAGCTTGCTGTTTGCTTTCCAACCCCACATCGCATGGTGAAAGTTATTTGTTTTGGCAAGGTCTATCACCCCTATCAGTTGTGACCATTAGTTTTGTTACACCCCGTATATTATATTATATCAATATTAATAAATTTTTTTCATTTAATTTAATTTAAGCATATTTAAAACAAATTCTTCAATGCCATTTATATTGTGTGAATGTCAATTAATCAGTTTTTATTAGTTCATTTGATTTAGATTGAACTATAGTGCATACTGAAAAATAGAAATAGTATCTTTCCCTTATGCACATTGAAATGTAATTTAAATAGCAACATCATTGATAATTTGTATCATCACGCAAGATTATCTTGGTGCCACTAACATCTCAATTGGTAGTCCTGTTGTTCATCAGTCAGGCCATAGACTTTCTTAAAGTGTTAAAGTGTAAGGAAGTTAAAGTGTATAGGAAGTTGACCATTAGTGGCTGGTTCTGATGAGTAGCTTGTTTGACAACCAAGTTATTGTAAGGCAACTGGGACAAAAATGAGTTCAAAAATTTGTTTGTAAACCAAATAATCTAAAAAGCAAAGTATTTAAAACCCGAGGTTTGACTGTACTTGAAAGCAATATAACAGTTGTTTATATACTCCATTACAGTATCTCTCATAGTTTTGGTTAAAAAATATTTTTGTAAATTTTATAACTCACAGAAAGTATTTTTTAAATTTATTTTTAACGTTTGCGTGCCACAAATTTTATCTCTTTTTATTCGACTTCTTTACGATTGTCGACGTGGAAATTGGGGTCACTTATTTCATATTAAAAATTTAATCAGTAGCAGATATTGAATTTATTATTAGAGAAAAAATGCTGTAATAACAATATTAATTCTATTTTAGTGCTATTTTTATTCCTTAATAAGATATTGGTTTCCACCCCGCATCGTTAGCAACGTTATGGATTGTGAAGGGAGAGGAGGAAATAAAAAACTTCCCCTTACCTTATTCTAACTTGATTTTCGTTAGTTTAACTCTTAAATTGAAAGATTTTGATGATACCTGTTAACTGTTTTTAATCTTATTTGACTCTATCTTGATTAGAAAATGGATATTTTAGTACCTTTTTACAGCATCTTTTTTTTACAGGAATTTCAATTTTATTTCTAATTGTATGGCTTGATTAAATACAAAAATTGGTTCTATTTTAAGAAAAATATTTGATTTATGTAATCTAAATAAAAATTTTGACTTCTTAATACGTGTTTAATTAATGATTCTTGAGGTGGATTATTGATTAAAGATGTACGAAGGTGTTAAATCATGAATCTTTGTGGTATTTTAATATATTTTAATCGATGGTATAGCAAATTTCTTAATGATTAGAGACGTTAAAAGGTCAAAGTTTTGTAGATTTGATAAGTTTTAACACATTTAATCAATAGATTAAGTGAAATTCGTGTGTGAATTCAGCTTATACCTTTCTCGTAAGACGTGTTAAAAAGCCATCCATTTAATAAAATATTTAAAAGTATAAATATATTTTCTATAAAATAAAAGATAGAAATAAGAATAATTATGTGACAAGCAATTTTATTTTTCGTTCTGAGTATTATCCAGGCCCTGGATTCCTGTAAGTACAAATCCATTGTCCGTATACATTAACATTGAAAAGTGTCACCACCACGGGGACACGAGACAAATAATGAAATTTAGATTAGGATAGGATCAAAGATGGCTCCATATTTGGCACCTGTCCTATCCCCCACGAAACTTTACTCTTACGGCAAGTGCAAACATTGATTCCTAGAAGGGCAATGGTGAAAGAATAACGATAAGGCACTTGNTTATAACTCACAGAAAGTATTTTTTAAATTAAAACTCTATAAGATATGGTTTAATGGAGTATACCTATATATATATATATTGATATATCCAATGTAATACAAACTTAAACCATTTATAAATACCACTACATACACACACAATACAAATGATCTGAAATTACTAAAAAAAATTTATACATATAAAATGTTTTAAAATTCAAAATTACTTACATGGATTTCTGTAAGCTAATGCACACACTATTGTCAAAACTGGATCTAAACACTTTAAAACAACAGAATACAAAACCATTTTGCCCAATCTTGGTTCAATTGGAAGGTCCAACAAATGTAATCCTAATTCCGTAAGTTCTTCCCAAGGATCCAATGCATCTATCGTCTAAAAATAAAATTTATTTTAGAAATTAAGTTTAATTAAAACTCAAATTAACAAAGTTTAATATCATCAAAAATTATAAATGAATAAAAAATCAAGATAAAATGGATACAAAATGTTCTCAAACTCTTTTATTCAGCTACACAGAATTATTCTAATTATTTAGTAAACATAAAAAGAATGAATGAAGAAATGCTATTTTAGAATAAAACAGTTTTATTGTTCATTCGAGTTCCGTGTTATTAAAACTAGACTTGAATGAATAAGTTCAATTTAAAAACAAATATTGATATTTACATGATAGGAATTATTTGAAAATGCTGTGGCATCTATTGGAACAGATGTAAAAAGTAAATATTTTGTAGAAATTACTTTATTGATTATTTTGTCTACGCCTATGTGACCTTTACTTAATCAGCAGAATTCAAACTGGATGCTCACTCAAGTTTTGACATATTTTTTCTAACATTTGCAAGGCAATTTTTGTGAATTCTTTCATCTTCAACTCATCCAGTCTTTGAGCATAGATGACATTTGATGATATTTTTCATAAACTCCTACACAAAGAAATTTAGAGAAGCAAATATCAGGGAGTTTGTAAACCAACAACTAGGACCATTGTGACCACTCAAATTGTCATTGAATGTGCTGTTGAAAACGTTCAACTTTTAGTACCAGCAAATTAGGGCTCTGTTTTGTTAAAAGATAACATTGTTATTCAGTTGTGGTAACAAAAACTGTAGCATGTCAAAGTATGTCCCTACTCAAACTCTGTCCTCAAAGAAGAAAAAGAAGATAGAAGAAGACTTCTACTATCGTATTTTCACAGATTGTCTGGCATGTCAGTCTATCTAGGGAGACCATAAAATCAGATTTTCATTATGGTAAAAACTGGCATGTTGATTTATCTCTGAGAATGCCAGCATGCTGATTTAAGTGACATTATATATCCCTCTCTAGAGGAAGCATTAAAAAACAAATGAGTTTTTATTCTTAAACCGTGGAACTGTCAGCAGTTGTAATGCTGACAGTTTCACAGTTAAAAACTATGATTATATGTTTAATTTCTTCATTTTGTCTTCTTTCTAACAACGTAAAATACCCATGGAATTCCAAAAGTGCTTTTTTTGTGTGTTTTTTATTGTTATTTGATTCAAAAACACAAAAATAAACACATTAAATAATTTACAAAACTCACCGTAAATTATCTCAGCTTACAACCATTAACATCTGTTTTGTGTGAAATTTGAAAGGAAGGTTTTATTTTTAAGGTCAGATTGTTCATGTTGCCCACACTGACTAACTAATACTACTAGTGTCAATAAGTTGTTAATTGTTTTATTGTCTTGTAAACAAAAACTCTCTAAGTCAGTCAAATTACAATGTTATTATTTTATTGTACTTGAATAATTTAACATTTAATTAACAATTAGTTTTGTTAAATATGATTAATTTCATTTTTTAGTTTCAGTTTAACTGGCATGCCAATAATGTGGGGATTTCCAGCATTCTTGTCTACGCCAGTTAAATGACAAATGTTGGTCAATCTGCAAAAATATGGTAATAACATCACACAATACATTTACCTTGGGGTTCACTCTCTTCAGTTCAAAGATAGTGTTAGTTTTTTGTTATTCCATATAATAACATAATGCATACTCACTCTTCTGCTCACATAGAATGTAGCCTTGTCAGTAAAAGGCCATCAATCCAAGAAAGTGCTGTCTACGAGGTGAACCTACAAGAAGTTACCGGCAATCTCCCTGAAACAACAACTACAACACATAGTTAATGATATGTGGTAGAAGGAGTGGACTGCGCTAATGCATATCTTAAAAAGCCAAATACTTCAGCCAAATTAAACTCCATGACTTTTCTGGTCAGCTCTGTGGTGTATCTACATTTTGTGATATCCTTCTGGAGCTCTGCTAAATGACTTGCCAGCATTCTGGCAGTGGCAACAATGTACCATGTATTTTTCCCAGTTGTGGACTGTGAAAGGGGTACAGCATAAACACCAGATTTTTCAAGAAAAGAGAACCTGTCTCTATCATTGCAGATAAGTTTGTGTAAAGTTGACCATAGGGGAAAGGAGCAGCAGGCCATTTTTTTTAACATATATGAAACCAAGAGAGAGGGAATCAAGATATGAGATTGATGATTGCACCCAAGTGAACTGTTTTTTTAAAATATAAGGTAGTGAGCAGGAATAGTGAATTTTTAATCCTAGTGATGAAATACCATCAATTCACATAAAGGTGTGAAATTTCGAATTCACTTGTAATGTGTAAGAAAAAGATTTCTTTATTTCTGAACAGAAATTTATAAAATTTTTATATAGTAGTAACTTTATTTTGCATTTTAGAGAATTTTTACTCTTTGTAAATTTGGTGTTGTATTCTGAGTCTTTGAATCTTGATGTTCTGATCTCTAGAATTTTGATGTTCTATTACATGTTCAATATTTATTTTTTTAATTTTCAATTACTGTATAGTAGAGCATCAATTATCCGACTCAATTGGGGACTGGGGTTGATCGGATAACTGAAAAATATGAAAAAATACATTATTAGTATAGTATATTAGTATATCCCATGTAATTAGTATATCGCTATTAACCTACTTCNTTTGTTTTTTGAATGCTTTGAAATTATCTTCATGTTTTTCAACCAAGGTTATTAATTTTTTTCAGTCTGCAAAAACTAGTGATTGTTGTGCTTTTCATTTCTTCATCTTACTTTTATAAAAACTTTTATATATAAATGTTGCTTTTTTTTAATCAGTACTAGAAATGTTTTTAATTCATAATTTGCTGAAACTCGTATATTTTTAATATATTTCAGAGACGTGTTTGATAAATTAAAGGCTGACATAAGATTAATGAAGGAAGAGTTGACAGCACTGGAAAGATCTCGTCAACCAAAAGTAATTTGCTCTTATTTTGATTTTTTATTATAATTTATGCAACTGTTTGTTTTTTATTATATTTTGCCGTATACTGTATAATATAATTGCAACTGAAATTTTGTTTTTATACCAATAGTATTTGTCTTTAAATATCATTGATAAAGAAACATTCATGGTATCAATGTTTACATAAACATACAATATAACCACAATTAAAATTCAGTATTACAAAACTAAGCTTATTTTACATCAGAAACACTTGCTGATGAAAGAATAGAGGTTAGAGATTCCATAGCATATATAATCTGTTTAGTATGAGTCCAGAATTTTTAGTACTCGTTACATCGTGCTTTTTCTTTGTCTCTCGACAAGCCAATATAACGAAAAACTACTGTAATAATAAAATACCATACCTCCAATCAAACCTATTACTGTTTACTATGTAAGAGCCTCTATATCTCAAAACCTGTCTGTTTTGGATTTTTTTTTCTGTTTCCCATAAAATTCGAGATAGACAGATTCAACTGTATTTGAATAATTATAAGTACCTTTTATTAACACATGCATGATGATTTTATTGCAGATTGTCTGATAAACCTCAGTTGCCATCATAAATGTTTTTAAAAACATTTTGAAATTCAAATAAATAAATAAAAATATTTTTGTGTCAAAAGCCTGTACCCCCATGTGGATCTGCCACTGGTTTGTATGACTAATCTTATTTCACTAATGCTTCTTTGTAAGACTCTGGATAGAAGATGACACTAAATCATGCAAGTGTAGGATAGTCTCAAAAACAATGAAAGATGGTCATTTGAAAGAATATTACACTTAAAAAATTTGACTAAATTGTAGAACAATGTTTAGAAATTAAAATTTCTAAATCACCGCAATAAAATGAAATGCACAATGAAAGTTAATTCAACCAAACTTCAATAAATTCAATGCTGTTCAATATGACTGCCATCTCTGTGAACCAGAAAAATTACTTCCAGCTCTTGGCATGTTCAGCAGTAGAGCATGACATGTTGGGAGAAATGCTGCACACATGCTGTTTTGTGTTGTTCCTTAAGACTGCCAAATTAGGGATACTTTCACAGTAGATGTGGAGCTATCTCAAGACTAACGTCTTGAGATAGCTCCACAACTAAAAATTGCATGGGGTAATGTCAGGTGAATGAGACAGCCATTCAAGTGAGAATATGCATCCTTGTTGCTACAGCTGCAAAATAATAAAATTGGAGCATATTGTAATCCCTTTCTACAGTAATGGAGCATATCAAGTAATTTCCTCAGAAAAAAATAATCCTATTGTAAAATTTGTAATGAAATCACAGCAAACAGTGGGCTCTAGACAAATTTAGTGGAATAGCTCAAGCAGTATAGTTCAGGTGACATCTGAAGCCTAAATCTGCCAGTTCTGAATGTTTACAATCTCACTCAAATAAAAATAGATCTCATCTCTTCCCATTAAAATAAAAATGAAGTGCCAGGCATCATCAATTTTATTCTTGACAGAAAATTAAGACCAAATGACAATCTCTTTTATGGACTCTCTTGTTGCAGCTGTTAGTCAGCAGCTAGTCTTGAAAAGGTAGAAATGAATTACTTTGTTGAGAACCTTCCATACCAAGGAATATAATATACCCAGCTGCCTTACTACACTAAATGCACTATTACAATCAGTGACATCATCCTTTGTTGAAAATGGTCATTGCAACTTTTGTAAATTCAAGTGGAACTAACTTCCATCCTTTTCCAACAGTAAATGCCAATGAGTATTTCCTCAAAATTTTGAATCACACTAATTATAGAAGTCAAGAAAAACTGTCAGCAAGCTCACAGTATCTAAACTCATAAAGAGCCACTGTTGCATTAGACCCATTTTTAGGTAGACTTCATAATTAACATGCAATAAAGCATAGCTAAGAACCATGTTCCAAATGACTATGCTAGTAAGAATATGCCTGGAGCTAGTAATATGTGTGGCTTTAATATATAACTATCATATTTAATATATAATTATATATTGATAAATGTTTATATTTATGCTTGGGACAGCTCAATGCAACATTTGTAAGTCTTGAATACCAAGCAAAAGAAAAATAAAATCAGTTTTATGCAAAGTTTCACTCTTTGGTGACAAGAGGATCTCTATCAGTGAGACAAACATGTATATGGAATCTGTTTCACTGCATTCTGAATAGTATACCTATCAAATTTGGTAACACTTCAATTGTAGAATTAAGTACAAGAAAGGTCTGTATATGAAAAACTTAATAATAGCCACCCAGTATTTTAGTTTGTATGCATAATAAGAATGAAATAAAAATATCAGTTATATTAAATTTTCAAATTGTAAAATATATTATTCTTAATTTATAATTTATTTCATTACCTTTAACAAATTCACTGCATTTCTTGTAACCATAAATGCAGGTGGATCTGGTGCTCTTGCTAGAAAATCTGCAATGGGACTATTGGGTGGAGCTAAAAGTTTTGCTTGTAAACACAGTTCATGAATAGGAACTCTAAGAATTTCAGGTTGCTGATATGGTTGAAAATTATGAAAGCGCTTCCTACTATAAAGATGATAACAGATTCCATTACGGCATCTTCCTGCTCTTCCTCTTCTCTGAATTACACTAGCTTGTGATATCCAGACTGATTTTAATGTTGTTACACTTGAAAGTGCATCATAAGATTTCTACAATAAAACAAAATTATATGCAATTACACTTTAATATTTTTAAAAAACACTTATAAAATTCATAAGATATATTTACTTCTTTCACTTTTCCAGAATCAATAACAAAAACCACATCATTAATGGTTATACTTGTTTCTGCAATATTTGTTGCTAATATCTGAAAGAAAAAAAAACATAAATAACAATTTGTTAAAATAGCAATTTCTGACAATAAAATGAGTACTTTTAGTACACAATGACCATTACTAATCTGGTACTAATTTCAACTAGCATAATTTGAAATTTTCCAGATTTCTACACTAGCCTGCTGCTACTGTTTTGAATTAGTTTGGTATCAACGACATATACTGTATTTGTTATCAACAATAAACGTAACTCTTTTCTAAAAATGAGTGAATTCAATGTTTTGTTGCAAAACCAATTTTTTGTTACTCAAGTCTGAACTCGAGGCATATGAGAGAGACTTAATATACTCTAGTCCATCCTTTCTCAAAGTGGGTGATAACGCCCCCTTGTGGGCACTGGAGACTTTCAGTGGGGCAGTAGAAGGCTCAGTGATTAAATATGAGTTTTATTTCTTCTCATTGAAACATTCTTTGATCTCAAAAATAGGATATGGGTCACACCCTATCTATCCTATCCATATAATAATGCATGTTTAAACATTATATTTGCAATAACAGTTTTTAAGATACGCGACAGATGGTAATGTAAAAGGTAAGTTAAAAAATATAGAGGCACTCGATTTTTTTTAATCTCAAAGTGGTGGTGGTCGAAATAAGTTTGAGAACCTGTGCTCTAGTCTTATACTCTAAGACCTTCATGATAAACAGCTTGCTATCACCTTATCTTAAAATGGCATATGTATAGAAATGTAAACTTCAAATAACCCAATCTTGAATAATACTAAACAATCTGCTGGATTGTATCAGGCTATATTATGGCTATATTTAATAATTAGATAAAAGAGTAATTTTGCTTAGAGGCAGGCAATTAAGTTGTCATCTTTGAATAAGGTGATTATTAAATTTATTACATGTTTATGCCAAGAACCACAATGGACCAAATTAGAATCAAACAAGCTTGTTTGATTTTAATTTAGTCTGTTTTGTTCTGCATTATATACAGCTGAAGATGTCTGTTATAAACAAATAAAAACATTAGTAAAAATGTGATAATATGCTGGTGTATGTATTTTTGTTTGTGTTTAAGTTAATTTATCCCAATATTGGAAAGTTATTTACTGAGCAAAAAGAAATTACAAAAAAAACCAACATTTTCATCTTATTTAATGGGCATTGTCAAGCAAACTGATCTTCACATATTTGAACAGCAAAGGTCAGTTGATGATGCCCATTGAACACAGATGAAAACATTTGCTTTCTTGTAATTTCCTCTTACTGGATTTTGTTATATGTGCAATGTTTATTGTTAATTAAAACAATAAAACTAAGCATTGTAACTTAGTCACTGCAAAAACCAAAATTTTACTACTCTAATAAGGAGGGAGATTTTATACTTTTTCTGTTTAGGTATGTGAATGAAACACTTTTATAACATATAAATCTATTGTTCAATTTTCTTACACAATTTTAAAAACACATTATGTCCAAAAGTTAGGTACTGCCTATAATACTAATTTCATTACAATTCATGACAAATTATTATTTTAATAATGAAATAACTTAAAAAATTACATATTACATAAACATTTAAAATACATATTCAAATAAATTGTAATAAATAACTTACTATTTTTCTCACTCCTACAGGTGTAGATTTAAACACACGTTTCTGATCTGAGCTTTGTATATGGGAATGCAAGGTGTAAACAATATATCTGAAATATGTAATTTACAATATCAAATATAAAATAAAATTTTTAAACACTAAAAAAAAAAGTTTATTCAAAATTGGGTAATAAAGCAATACTCAATAACTCAATATAGCAACTAAAATCATATTTAAACTTTTTTCATCCATTTTACAACTTTAACATTATAAATATAATTCCCATTATGAAGCAGGTAATATGTATAAACAATTTTTTTTATTAGCAAAGTGGAAGTTGCTAAAAGCAACTTCCACTTTGCATAGAAAACTTTCAAATCTGAAAACTTTCAAATGACAAATCTGAAAACTTTCTATGCAAAGTGGAAGTTGCTAAAAGCAACTTCCACTTTGCATAGAAAGTTTTCAGATTTGTCAGCAAAAGCAAAATTGTATATAAGAAATTTGTACAAAGTTCTTATCACACATCACTACTTATAATAATTGCTATAAAAATACACTTAAACCAGCTTTAAATTCCAGCAAAAACCTTAACAAAAACCAATATTTCAGCTGTTTAAAACAGTCATCTTTATTTAAGACTGTCTTCTGATTTGTTGTTAATAGTGCAGTTGGACAACATAAAATTTTCAAAACATTAAAAGTATATTATTTTCTTATATATCAGAAATCAAAGCAAAATTCACTTGCAGAAAAAAAAAGAAAATAGACTACAGAGACTGAAGTCCACAAAAAAGGTCATTATTAAACAAAGGCATAAGTAATAAGTCAGGACTTCACTTGCAAAAAATTTTGGTATAGCCCTTTCCAAAAATATACTAATTAATTAATCCTTAACTTGTAAAATTGACAAATGCTATTTGTGGAAGATTAAAACAATCAAATATACATCAATTTTCTAGAATTTATAAGTAATAATAATAATAATAATAATAATTTTGTTTTCATTAAAAAATTATGACAATACATTTATTATATCATCATTTATCATATTATAGCCTGATATGATCCAGCAGATTGTTTAGCCTTAATCAAAAATTAAGTTAAGAGATAATTATAAGTTGTCACAATAATCAGATTATTATATGAGCTTGTCATTTACCACTTGGAAAAGATGATTTTACCAGAATTTCAACATCTTATTCTAATGTATGTGAGATACATCAATGATATCTATATCTTACAATGCAAGAAACCCAATCTGCAACTATTTCTCTAAAAGGTAAATTCCAATCCCTATCTATGTCTTCTACTACAATTGAATCAAGAAAGCATAACTTCAGTACATTTCTTGGACATTTCCACTACTACTTGTAAGAATGATAAAATCCATACCAACACACATTGTAAGCTATCTTATCAACCAATTTTCACTCATCACAACTCCACTGACCCAAACACACAAAACTTTCTGCATTTCAGAATTGCAAAATTGCGAAATTCTCAATTTTGCAATTTGAAATTTCGTTCCAAAGACTGCTGGTCTTTGTTCTAACAAATCTTTATGGATGAATCATAGCTTGAAAAAAGACCCAGGAGGGATCCGAAAATGTTTGCATGGCCAATTATTCATATTTCCCACCGGTTAAAGGTTTGTTAAGAGATTATTTTATATTAATCTGGTGTGTGAAGATTCTTTATTTCTCTGTCTTGAAAAAATAGACAAATGGCAAAATGCAATAATGTAAACATGACATATAAATGTAATCCCACTATTTTTCAAGCATACATAACAAAACCTACAACAGACTTAAAGAACACAAGTATACATTGATAAAAACTTGCACACAAAATTAGCAGCATATGCTATCCAACAAGAAGTACAGGTCAAGTGGGAAGACACTATAATCATCAGACCAACTAAGAACTTCAACACACTTAAGCATTTAGAGACCTTAGAAATATACAAAGCCAACAGAACTTTCCATCTGCATTTATTACAGAGATGCAAACACACTACTGTGTACAGGTCTCTGTATGAGTTCTAACTTGACTTCCTTTAATGGGGCACTTTTGCACTATTATTTTATTGTTATTTATTTCATTTTGTTAAACAATTACTATTAATTTTTATGTTATATTATTTTTTAATTTATTTTATATTTTGTTCAATTCTACTGGTATTCATTGAATGTTCTTTTTATTCAAATATATTTAAAATTAAAATGGTTAATGCAATTTAAAAAAATTTTTTGGAATGTTTTTACTATTCAACATTGCATTTCTCAGTAATTATTATTTACCTGCTACTATCTGGAAGATTTTTCTCATCAGATAATATTTTATCTCTAAGAGAAACAATTTCATCGTATCCAGGCAGAAATACTAATACAGCACCTGAAATAGAATTAAAAATAAATGAAATCTTTCAATGATTGAACAAACATAAAACTATTCTTCTTTCAACATTAAAATCTTCAATTAAAAATTTCTAATATAAACAAGATTCAAAATAAAAAATACTATTATTATTCTAAACAAATAAAATCTAATTATGTTAAAATGCTTGCATAATAATCCTATACACATTCATCAACAAAAAATGTGTGCCAAGGAGACATTAGAATCTAATAAAACTTCATTATTGTAAACACAATTGCAATGGCAATAAGTGATTAAAATATCATAGCAAAGACAATTTCCTATGGAACAACAGTACAATTTAAAGGAATCTTTACTACCTTGCAGGACCTCCTGTTGTTGGATACATGCAGAAATACAATCAAACATGAAGGCATACAGACACCATATGATATTATGTGGCAGATTTGCTCATAATGTTGCAATGCTATTTCAGATCTCTCACACTTGTAGACGGCCAAAGCTGGAGTTCCATTTGGTACTACAAATGCTTGATAGACAACAAATCTGGAGACCAGGTATGCCAAAGAAATATGACAATGTGACAAACGTTTCTAAGAAACCCTAGCTGTGTGTAGCCAAACATTTTTCTTCTGAAAAATGGCTATTTGCAACCTGTCCTCAATGGCAACAAATTAGGATGCAGGTTTAAAAATAAGAATAGAATTAAAAATAAAATATTTTTGATGGTTAAACTAATATAAAACTATTATTCTTTCAATAGTTTTTATATCATCAATGTCTCCATACCAGCATGCAAGCAGTGGTGAAGGGTAGTGTACTGCTCAACAGTAAAAACAGAATTGAAGCACTCAACAGTGGTCTTTCACATTAACATACTAGTCATCCGCAACCCAAAAAAACCAAGATTTGTCATTAAAGACAACATGTTACCAGTACATAGCAGTCCATAATCCTGTTATAACACAATTACAAATGAAAACAAACTCTGGGATGCTTACAGCAGAACATAACAGTCCACTCTATATGCAAATCAAATTTGCATCTTCTAGTTGCATGTCAATGGTATGGGATGAAACAAAGGTTCTATAGCAAGGCTTCCACCTGTTTATGGATGATGACAAATGCTGTTGGAACTGTTCATGCTTGTTTCACAATCAGATAATCATTTCTTCTTGTGAACTATCTGGAACATCCAAATCCTGCCCATAATATATGGTGCTCCTTGACATATTCATTGTCCCAATATCACCATCTCAGTCCAATAAGAACAATCCAATGGCAAGAAATTCAACAAAACAGCCATCATGCTTCTCTCAGCCCAATGATGCAGACTTTCTGAAACTCCAACTGTATATATCATGTTGTACAGGCAAACCTAGTATTCAAAGACCTCTTGTCTGAAGGTCTTTGATCTATCTGCTGTCAGCCTTCAAATGCTAGGAAGACAGCAGATAAATTAAAATCTGAGCTTCTGTGAGTCTTTTTTGTAAGATACTGGGGTATTGATTTTGTCTCTCTGCTAGCAATATTTGGCATGCAAATGTATAACAACTATAACCATTTACATACCTGTACCTGTCTGGGACAGCTGTTTATTGCAATTTGCAGTAATTGAGCAATTCAATCTGTATGCATTAGTGTATACAAAAAACTCAATATTTGAAAATTACTAGAAATACAAATATAAACATTTACTAAAACCCGATGCTTAGCAAATACAAACCCACAATTGCCGTAAATACTACAGGCTAAATTTTGGAATTACTAATTAGAAATTACAACAAATTTGGCACTAGAGGGAGGTGTCAGACACCATCTCTTATTAAAATTAATAATTATAATATTTCATTAATTTTAATATGAGATGGCACCTAACGCCTCCCTCTAGTCCCAAATTCTGTTGTAAATACAAATATAAACATCTCAACTCAAAAGAAGACATGCACTGTATATGAGAGGATGTAGTTACTGATTGAACATGCCATAAATGGTTTGTGAAATTTAGGGCAGGTGATTTTTCTCTTGAAGATGCACCTCAATCAGAATGGCCCTCAACCATACATGATGAGTCCACAGTGGCTTTTAATCCAAAATGATCAGCATAAAACAAAATGAGATAGCAGACACCTTAAAAATATCCCAAACATCTATTTGTCAGACATTTGATTAGCCTTGGATACACTTCCTGTTAAGGTGTTTGAATTCCCTATCAATTAAACTAACAAAACATTATTGAGCATGTTTCTGTTTCTGTTCATAATTCTCTTTAAAGTGCAATGATGATGATCCATTTTTAAAGTGATTAATAACATCAGATGAAAAATTGATTGTTTACAACAATATTCAATGCAAGAGATCTTTGAATAAGCCAGGTGATCTGCAAGTGCCACAACCTAAAGCTGGTTTGCATCCCAGAAAAATAATGATTTCAGTTTTGTGGAATTGAAAGGGGGTTGTTTATTACAAGCTTTTACCAAAAAACCAAACAATTAATTCCAATAAACATTGTCTCCAACTGAATGAACTTGCAAATCTACAGTTCTTGAAAAGCATCCTGAACTTGCACATCAATAAGAAGTGGTATTCCATCATGATAATGCAAGGCTGCATGTACCATTGAACGTGTGCCAAAAACTTCTAGACTTTGAATGGGATGTTTTGAGTTACCCTACATATTCTCTGGATAGTGCTCCTCAGACTATCATTTTTTTTGTTCATTGCAGAATAATTTAAATGGTATGGAATTTCAATCTGTAGAAGGTATCAAAAATCACATTGATAATTTCTTCATTCAGAACCTGCCCAACTTTATACAGATGGAATTATGAAACTATCCATCAGATGGCATAAGATTATCAAATAGAAGGGTGAATATATTGTGGATTAAAGATTTTTATTTATCACAAAATAGTGTATTTTATTTCTCTCTAAAAACCAAAGAACTTTCTGTTTAACCCTAAATAATTATAATTGAAACATTTAAATTTCACACTTTTCTGCAATAATGGCATGGGAGGGGTGAGATGATTCTGGTAATTTTGACTGCACGCCAACCTACCTCATCCTTGTTATCCAGAATATAACATATCTTTAATACTTTAATTTAACACTTTTCAAGCTCTTCTTTCCTCAATATATCAAACGCAGCATCTGTAAATATCTCAGATGTTGCATTGACATATTGAAGTAGAAATGAACATGTTTTAAATTTAATTACCTATCTTACCATTTAATTAATTAATGAGCACTTTTTCGTAAACTGAGTTTTTCATTTTGATAATTATAGAACACAGATTATACAATGTGAAAATAACAACAAACATTGAATTTACTTCAAAAATAATCATATGCAATAAAATTCAAGTATAAAAGGAATGACTAGGTTCACCATACTATAATATTATCCACTTAATAAATGAAGTAATTACTGTATATCAGCATTAAATGATTTTTTTGCTGTCATTCTCAAAATAATATGCAAGGAATTATAAATTATTGCAAAAGCAAACTGCAAAGTGGGCCATATGATTGCAAAATTTAAATATATCAATGTCCAGGTACACATGTCACTCGTTTCACTTACAGCATTAATAACAAAGAAAGAGGATCTAATACTCTTTACCCCATCAATTCTGTACCTAAATGAATAATTATAATAATTAATTTTTAATAAATTATTATAATTATTCATTTCAATAAGAGATAGCACCTACCTCTACTGCCAAATTACTTAATATCTAATTATAATTAATAGCAAAATAATAGCCCAATTAACTATGCTAATTTAAAGATATGGCCAGGATGAAATCATCAATACAAAAAATCCTTAGAAAAGGTTCCTCAAGACAATACATACAAATATGTCTTTATTCCAATCTAGTCTTTCAAAAGCACATTTGAGGAACTGTGCATTTGTATGTATGTCATCAGTGAACTCCACCGTGAAACTATGCTAATTGTTTGGTTTAGTATCAATACATCAAGATTTGGGATGTTTATTATATTTATATAGATTAGTTACCTTCATCACGACTGGAAATAATTTTTTGTAATAAGCACAGAATGAGATCAAGATCAACTTTGTCATCATCAAAACTGTGGTAGTATATATCTAGAAGTTCTTTATCTTCTTCACTTATAGCTTCTTCCAATAATGGGATATTTGAAGATGAATTCATTCCAATCATTTCAAGCTGTCCCACTTGTGAACTGGAAAAAAACAATTATACTACATTAAAAAACAAACATAAAAATTTTAAACTAAGATCTGAACATAAACTGTTATCTATTAGTAAACTAGGATAAATTGAGAGAGTTGATTTATAAAATATAAAAATTAGAATTAACACACCAAATATCTTTAAAATCCAGCAAAACAGAAATTTAATTAACTATTTAATACAGCCAAAAATATTAGTTATCATAAGGTTTTAAGTATGCTAGAATGTGTCTGCAGCAAAAGAAGTGTGGCGAAAGTTGCTAAATGGATGATTTGTAGGACAGTAATCTCCTCCAACCTGCTGCTCACTCTTTTTGGATTATAAGCATGTGGATGTATGTCATCAGTTTTGCTAGACTGTAAAAGGTTTTTCACATGTAAAATATATATATACACACACACACATTGTATTTACTCATATACACATATAAGCCGAACTTTTTTTTTGTTTTTCACTGTTTCAAAAACCTAGGTCATCATATATGCACGAGTGAAGGATTCTTTGCATTTTTGCAATGATTTTTGTAAGCCGTGTATTCACATTTTTTACTGGATGCTCATCCTCTTCTGTTTAAAAACAAAAGTATTTTATCTGGGTTGTTTGAATCACTCTTGTGTATTGTCAGGAGTAAAGATGAATAGCAATAGAAAAAGTAAAGCTTTTGAATTGAATTCCAAAATCACATGGGAGTCTGATATAAGTTTTAATCCATTCCCATGTGAAAACAGATGATTATTTGGAAATCAGAATTCAGAGAAACTCTTAAGTGTAACTGACAGAAAATGGATTCGACCGTTAAGAATTGGAAAAAAAGGTTCCTGATTGTCCAGCTTTACATAAACAAATCATGCTGTCGATTTTATAAGATTTTTCCTTAAAGTTTAAAATGCTAGTAATTTTTGCAAGACAATGTGTACATTTATGTGCATTTGATAATTTATTTGTGATTAAACTAAATACAATTAGAATTGTATTAATAAATTTAATTTTCTTTATTTTGATCTTTAATTAAAATCGCACCTCATCCTATATGTAAGATTGTCTTATATGCGAGTAAATATGGTAATTCAAAAGACTTATACTTAAGAAATATATCAAACTTAATTGTATTATATAGTAAAGTAAAGTAAAAAAACAAAAATACATAATGTTTACAATATATATGTGAGAATTCAAGCTCTTTCGTGAATTTTGGAGCTTCGATAATTTTTTCTCATCATTTCCCTTTCCCTACAATTTTTATGTCACTTCAAGAAGTGACCTTTTGAACTTTTCTAATGAGCGAAGAAAAACACAACCCACACGCTTCCTATGTCGTACAATGTTATGAACAAAAACGCTGACCATATAAGGAACAATCATTACTAAGGTGCAAGACTAACTCTGACCTTAGTCACCTCCAGTAATTACTTCAGCTTCAAATTTGAGCTGGAAGAAGTGACAATACTGGATAGAAGAAGTAATAAATCTATAAAAAAGGTTTTGGGTTGTGACAAGTAACATAAACACATCCCAGACGCAAGTCAACTTTAAAGGAGGTTGCATCAGATTTCGTATTAGTCAGATCCATACCATCATTTCATCCATCATAACCCTTGCCTTCCCACCATAATCACTGTCCGTCTCACAATGAGCCTGACCTGAGAAGAAAGACTACGATTAAAGACCACTGATCTGGGTGCGTTTCAACAACAACCCATACAGCTGATCGGGGACAAAGAGGTAACGCTTGGAAAAATTCTTAACTCTCTCTCTCGCTCTCTCGGTTATAGCTTGGACTTAGGCTAGTTGAACTTAAAAAGATCCTGGGAACTATAGAAGCCAGACTTCAGATGACTTATCGATGACTGAATATCTTGTCGCGATATAAAATAGTTTTGGTAAAATAACTACGTATTTACTGAAAAACCAGCAAAAATTCACTTCAAACAAACGTTTTCCACAGTCTTCAACGGTCATCTTCAGGTTCAAATTCCAAGAGTTCGAAAAACTCTTAATTCTACAATTTTTTCGAACTCTTTGAATTTGAACCTTAAGATGACCATTGAAGACAGTGGTAAACGTTTGTGTGAAGTGAATTTTTGCTGGTTTTTCAGTAAATACATAGTTATTTTATTAATTTTCACACCAGTAGTGTTGGTATGATGGATGATTAAATAGTTTTGGATTATTCCCTTTTTGTAGCCTTTTGATTTGTGCTTGTTTGTATAGCTTTAGATAATTAAATATGTTATTCTTATATATATAATTATGTGTCATCCTTGAGTACAACCGACACCTTGTCACGACCTCGCGATCCTCCCCACTCACATTTTTAGCCCTCTGAAACCCATCCTCTGACAGAGCCGCCGGTAAATGGGGACACCTAACCCCCTCGGTTCTCATATATACATACACATATATTATATGAATACATGTTTATATATACAATTTCACTATCCTTATTTTTCATTTTTTAATTATTCAATTATTATAACTTGAAGCTAATAATAGTCTTTATTATTATTAAAACCTAAATAAAATTTCCATCCTATTAGGCCTAAATAGTTTCATAACTTTCATGATCATTTAATCAATAACTAAAGATGAGGATATCTTAGATATATATAAATCCTAAAAAAATAATATAATTGGAAATTCCTGTTATATAAAACAACCAATCAGTATTCTATTGCACTAACAGGTATAGTACAATCCATAAAAATGCCTACCACATATGGTTCACTTTTCAGAAATTTCAATAAGGAAAGATTTTTTTACCCAAGAAAATGTTACTATTCTCAAAAATTCTTAATCCAGAAGTTTTACTATCCCAATGTAAGAAAAAATTTTCCTAGAATGACACAACACACAATTCCATCAAATTGGGTCAATTCAACCCAAACCAAGACAGATGAAACATTCATAAATGTGTTAAATTTGTGTGCAAGCCCAATTAATATGTGCCACAGGTCAGATTTGGTCCAGAGGTCGTACTTTAAATACCACTGATACAAATGATATATTGGGAATCTTGTAACATTAAGTTCTTAAAATAATTTTAGCCTTTTAAATGTATTTTATTATTTACTATTAAATAAAAAATATCTATTTAATTACCAACTGGCCTTTAAAAGATCTTCAACTTCAGTTTGTTCAAAATGATGAGCCCAATCTAATGCTGTCCATTCATTTGGTGCCCTAATATGGACACTTGCACCTAAAGCAAGTAATTGTTCTACTGTATTTAATTTTCCTCTTCCAGCTGAAACCATTAATGCTGTTACACTTGTTTCTTGATGCTGATAGTCAACTAACATATATAAAATTTAGAATAAATTACTTAAGCTTAACAGTTATAACCATTAAATTAAATACTTAAATAATACACTAAAACCTTGTTATTTCAAAACTCAAGGGACCAAAAAAAACATAACTGATTATCCCAACTTTTTTGGAATCAAATTTTTGTAATTCTCGAATAAAATTATGACATTATCTTATATAATTTCACCTATTTGGTTACAAATCCATTAATATTACGAGTCATTACTTAGTAATTTGAGCTATTTTAAAAAACTCTCAGTTGGCATATACTTAAATGTAATGAAACAATATACAAAGCAACACATAAAAATAATGTATGAAAAAAGTTTAAGTGCTTTGATAAGAATTACTTGTAAATTTTGTTTAGAGGACTAATACTAATGACTAGTTCTATGAAGAATTCGCTGTCTTAAGTTTGAGATTACAAAAATTATATGATCTGATGAAAATGCATTCTATTAACAGCTAAAGCTATGAACACATTCTATCGTGAATATGTATGTATGTGTATTCAATCAACTTTCAAATTATTAAAACAATATACTTTTGCAAACAATGTCCAAAATAATTAAATGCCAAATAGATTTCTTCCATAAAAATAAGAATTCTTTCTTCATTGGCAACATGTACAATTTCCAAATGACCATGAACAGAAGTTCAATACATAAACAATATGTAATTGGAAAATCCAAAGATGAAGCTGCCACTTGGACACGGGAACATTCTTTATAAATATCTAATATGACAGATTTTGAATTAAACGATATTTTTGTAGGTCACTGAACCAGATAATGACTTCAAATTTCATTGTATGAGTACAGTAATACCTTGTCTTACGCAAACCCGGAGTGACGCAATTTTCAAATCTCATTGATTTGTCTTTTGTTTGAGCGCCTTGCAACTCTTGATTACTCACTCTCCCCACACTATTGTTCAGCTTACATGTTCGGACATGTTGCACGGAATTGACACATAGCTACAATTTATTTTGTGTTATTTACTTCTGTGTTTGTTATATCTACAGAGACTTGAGAGGCTCTATGTGGTGATTTCTTGTAACTGTGAATGAATTAAAAGACGAGATAAGATTAACGAGAACATTTATTAGCTTACATACATCTGACTTGGATTTTACACAAATTGCGAAATTATACCCCAACTTACATGAATTTGACATATGCAGTCATTGCTCTGTCCCACCTATCGCGTAAGTTTGGGGTATTACTGTATTTCAAATTATCTAAACAAAAATATATGCAAAATCCTATTCTTTTGGTTGGGGAGTAGACTTGTCTTCAAATTACACGATACTTCAAATTATCTGATATCAAAATAACAAGGTTTTACTGTATGAATATAATTAATATAAATTTTCTAGTTCTAAAACTAAAAATATTTAAAACTGCAAGTGAAACAAAAGGCAAAATTTCTTTCGAAAATAAAATAATCAACTAGAAGTTTAATTCAAAAATGATTATTGAAAAGATATTATTCAACTTACACCAGTTAAGAAAACTCAGTTGTTCTTTAAACCAAAACTTTGATGCTAATTTGGTCCAGAATTTACTGAGACCATAAACTTAAATTAATGGTAAGAAGTCAAAAAATATATTTAAAACTAAAACAGGATAGGGAATTCTTGTAAAAATACTTGTTCCATATTACTACAAAAGGAGATGTGAAGAGACTGTAGACTTCAAGAAGAGCTCAGTATATAAAAGGGACCTTTATAAAATATATTTTTTTATTTTTCATTCACTTTTTACTTTCTTAAAAAAGTGGCTGACACACCTCGCCACATATACTGGTGGTGGTCACATGACCCAGGTAGACTACTGGATGGTGCGCAGACAAGATTTGAAAGTTGATCAAAAATACTAAAGTGATACCTAGCGAAAACATAGCTCCACAACACCAGCCACTTATCATGGATATTCAAATGAGCCAATTAAAGAAAAGGCAAAAGATGTTAACTGGGACTGAACGCTTCAAATGGTGGAAAATCAAAGCTTGCAACAGCATGCTGAGTACTGCTTTGAAAACTTTCAAAGTGAATCCAGACAGACTAGTCATGTGGAACGAGGCAGTATAGCAGATCCTCCAGGCAGCAGAGAAGACAGTTGGAAAAACTAAATCTGGGTGACTGTATCATGACATACAAATATGGTGGTGGAACTGAGAAGTACAAGCTGCAGTAAAGGAAAAGAAGCAAGTATTTTTGCAGTAGAGGAAAATGCAGCTCAAAACTGATCTGGATGAATACAAATGCTTGAAATCAGCTGCAAAGAGAGCAGTGGCAAATGCCATAATGACTACTATCAGGATATATATGGATAAGAAAATTGACAAAGAGGAACATGGAGGCAGCCATGCTGTTTTAGTTTATCCCAAGACAATGGAGGAAGAAACAACTGTTGACATGAAAGAAGTTACTAGTACTATCTTCCAGAACATGGAGCCAAAAAATTTACAATCATCGCTAAACCCGATGTAATAGCTAATCTCCAAACGTACGCCGTAAATCCATCGGGCTAGTTTTATGGCTAATTACTATATTAATTACATAACCAATTTGGTACTAGAGGTAAGCGTTAGGCGCCATCTCTTATTAATATTAATAATTATAAATAAATTAATTAATTTAAATAATTTAGAACCGCTGGGAGAAAAAATCGGCCCGGAGCGGGACTCGAACCCACAACTCCTGCTTACCGTGCAGATGCGTTGCCAGTTACGCTACCCGGACCTCCAGTACGATCTCCTCTTCCAGCGTATAACTATGTAACCATCGACGGTTATTACAATGCCGGCTGGGGACACATTCAGTGCCCACGTCCTACTCNTATAGGAGTAGGACGTGGGCACTGAATGTGTCCCCAGCCGGCATTGTAATAACCGTCGATGGTTACATAGTTATACGCTGGAAGAGGAGATCGTACTGGAGGTCCGGGTAGCGTAACTGGCAACGCATCTGCACGGTAAGCAGGAGTTGTGGGTTCGAGTCCCGCTCCGGGCCGATTTTTTCTCCCAGCGGTTCTAAATTATTTAAATTAATTAATTTATTTATAATTATTAATATTAATAAGAGATGGCGCCTAACGCTTACCTCTAGTACCAAATTGGTTATGTAATTAATATAGTAATTAGCCATAAAACTAGCCCGATGGATTTACGGCGTACGTTTGGAGATTAGCCAAAAAATTTAAAATTAATGTGAAATCAATGAGCATAGTCAAAGGAAATGGAATGTGTGTTTGTGGAGAGATGGGGACATCTTTTCCAAAGCAATACAGGATATTCCAGAACTAACAGAAAAAATCAGATGCACTATATCAGAAAGGAAGAAGCCCCATATTATTATCCTCAATGCCTCAAGCTCCATTAAACAGGAAGACATTACCAAAGCCATATACAAACAAAATAATATATGGGGACCATTGGCATAGAACAATTCACAGAAGATTGTAAAGTGTCCTCAATAATTCAGAAAGGGAGGGTGAAAGAAAACTGCAATCATGTAGTATTAACAGTTTCAACCAACATGCACAACATAGCAATAACAAGAAAACACCTTTCCCTTAATTGGTATAATGTTAGGGTGGATGACTTCATTCCGCTCACTAGATGTTTCAAGTGTTGCGGATATGGACATTATGCTTGTGAGCACACTAAATACCTAAAGTGCAGCCACTGCTCCAGACAATACAGCTACAAAGATTGCAAAACATGACACAAATTGCCTGTATGCACTAATTGTCAAGAATACAACAAACAACAATCAACAAGTTAACAGGTACCATCAGGACACAATGCCTTCAGTCAAATATGCACAATAACTCAGTGGCTGAAAAGCCAAATAATTGAACAAACAAATTATGACATCTAATTACCAGCATACTTCCAACAATTCTGTTAACTCCAATATTCAGGATAAACCTATTCAATCATACACTGGCTCCATAAATATCTTACAACTGAATGCTCAGAAGAGCAAAGCTGCATCTTCACTTCTACAAAAAACTGTTGAGGTTTGGCAAACCGACATTGTGTTAATTCAAGAACAATACATCATTAATGATGGCATCATCTGATTTGGGAGATGGAAAATCTTTCCTAAGTTTACTTAGTCAATCAAAATAGGAATTCTCATCTGCAACAATAAAATAAATATTCAGGTTTTTTCTCAGTACAGTTCAAACTCTGTTACCACAATTATAATCTCTAATAATTCAACTAACATCTTCCTATCTTCAGCATATTGTCCCCCAGATGGGAATCTACAAAACATCATCACAGAATTGGAAAACACCAAAAGGAATATAGTTAACAAACACTCCATCGTGGGCAAAGATTTCAATGAAAAAAGTCATGTAACAAATGAATCTCTTAGTAAACACTGGAGGAAATACAATTGATCACACACATCTGGGTCTTCATCAGGCTACAGTTATGAGGAATTCGAATGCGTGTGGAATGGAACAATAAAACGAAACGAATGCAATTCAAAATTTAGAAAAGCAAAGTTAAGAATAAAAATAGAACATTACGCTCATGCTGAAATGACGGTTAAGCACGCGTAACATCATGTTTACGAAATGGTGAATGCAGATGAAATATACGCAATTTAAAATCAGTTATGGAGGTGAGTTCCCTCATAACAAAATTTTCATGCGTTAGATATACCGACTGCATCCTTAGAGTTTATGCACATGTTACGCAATCTTGCTTTACATCTTTTGAGTCTCCATGGTTCTGAGCTGATCCGTATGGTATGAGAGCCTGATCAGACGGGCATTTTGTGGTGTAAGGAACCAAGTCCGTGCTTTATTTTTAGTTTACTTATTATTATTATTATTATTATATTGTCAGAAAGAATAATGTAAAAGGTTAGTGAGTATTGTCGGAAAATAGGCTGCCAGGCAATAAAAGGAAAAGTTCAATGTAACAGATAAGTATGTAAATAAGGGGAGTGGTCTCAATCAGAAT